AAAATGTGGTGCAAACTTTAATTCAACCCGCTACGCGGGTTATTCAGTGTGCACCACATTTTTGATGTTATTTCTTCATAGACAAAAAAAAATATTACAGTCATTCCTTAACTTTAAAAAATGTAGCTCAAGCGTTTCATATAGTTCATAAAAATTATATGATTATGATTATATACTGTCCGTTAAAGATGATTATATTATTAATGATAATCTTTAGAATACCTTAAGTTACATTTATCAGACAGACTTTTTAAAGGCCTAAACGAATCGATCGAAATGAATATAAAGTACATGAATGTACATTTTAAAGAAACTAGGGCGCAAGTTTCATACCAGGAAAGTCGCCTCCCGAAACATCAATACTAGTATAATAATTAAAAAAAACTTGCATTTGGAAGTATCTTGGGGGAAATTAAAGATGTTAACAAAGTTACAATGCGTATAAATGAAAGAGTAGAAAGATTTGAAAATACTGTAAATCAACGACATAACCTAGGAATATTGTCGTTCATCAAACACGGAATATCAACAGTTGTACAGATAGCTTAATACATTTTTCTGCGACCGTTTGGTTGATACTTTGACTAAATTATCATGTGGTAATAAGCTATCAATTAATTACAAAAAAAACTGTTAATTAATGAATGACTATTATTTATTTTGAATTTATTGAACCATAAAATTAATTTTTGACTCTTCACATTGAATAATCCGCGAAGCGGATTATGTAAAATGTGAAGAGTCAAAAATTTATTTTATGGTTCAATAAATTCAAAATAAATTATTGCTATTCATTATAAATAAATTTCTATCAAAAATAAGGCTCAAAGACCTTTTTATATTATTTATATTAACAATAACAACGTACACACATGTTGGCGTATGAATACACAACGTCAGAGTGGGCGTGTCGCCATAAAAATTGACAACATTGAAAATAAAGGTAATTCTTTTAACCAATCAGAAGACAGTAAATACACCAAATTTATTTATTAAATTATACAATTTAAAAGTATGTTTTCTGACAGGGGCATTATCATTTCATAGACAACACATTGTATGATCTTACAAGGGGTAGTGTAACTAGAGAAGAATAGATCTTACATGAGGTAATGTAACTTGAGAAAAATGATCTCAAATAAAGTAAAGTGAAAAAACTTTATTGTTTTGGTCCATTTTTCTCTATCCTTTATTTTTTGGCACTTTTTTCTACAGTATTATAGACCATCATACCTTGTGTGTTTTCTTAATGGAGGTACAATAGGTCTGATTAAAAAATATGTCAGTTAACTTATTTATGGGTTCAGTAACGTATCGGGTAGAAAAGATAATTGGAGTTCTTTAAGGGAATAGTATAGAACTTTCTCCTACTCAGTAAACAAAATTAACCTCAAAAAGAGAGGCAAGAGATACCAGAGGGACATTCAAACTCATATGTGGAAAATAAACTGACAACGCCATGGCTAAAAAGAAAAAGACATACAGACAAACAACAGTACACACGCACAATAACATTATTGGTATCTTTAAACGGGAACAAAGTATAGAAAATATAAGCATGCTTTAAGTAAATGCAATATAGGTATCATGACTCCTTAAACCATTTAAGTTGATGACATTGTCTGCATAATACATGATTAGTTACATAATAAATATATTTAAGACCAAATTAATTAAAACAACACGTTATATAAATTCCATGTGTCCAAAGCGCTTTTATGGATTAACCTTCATCAGGAACGCTGAAAGCAAAACATTTGAAAGCCAAAGATTTATAAAAACCGAAACAATTGACGAGCTATATGACCAAAAAGAACCTTAAACAATAGCTAAATCCCTCTAAACTACGTATAAAACTTCGCATGAAAAATTGGTCATTATTTCATAATACATTTTTGTTCGCTATAACGTATGGAAAATAGAATCAGACACAAGAAAAAATCTCTTTTCTCGATTCGCACTTGATAACCACCGACTTTGACAAATTAATGTTTGAATCATATATGTTTAATAGAAACTGATGAAAATTTACAATGATTATTGAGTCTTGTAATAAACGTGTTACCAAAGAAATCAATTTACATCTTCTAGATTAAATTAAATTTTACATACATAATCAATTCTCTTTATTTATAGATATATAAATAAAGTTTGACTCTTTATCATCTGCAATGTTACAACAGTATCAAAAATTTTAAATGCAAATCATCTTTAGTAAAGAAAAACTAATTGGTTCATTGCTATGTCATTATGTAATGTTCAAACAATCTAATGGACAAAAGAAGATTATGGGTAAACTTTAATAAGAGTTTTAATTTGTTTATGTCAATCCAGTAATGGGCATTGATTTCTAAACATAAACGTTGCATAAACTTAGAAGTTTTGGATCGATATATCTCCTGTTGGACTGCACTTCCGAGATAGTGTTATAAGATAGACAATACTTGGTCATGTTTTATGAATATTTAAGCCCGAGGCGTGTCGGTTTATCGTAGACTCATGGATTTTGAATGTCCCTTTGGTATCTCTCTTTCCGACAGATGAATAACAAATTATTTTGTATTTATATAAATTAAGGAATTCATGTTGAAGTTCAAATTAAAACATGTAAAAGATTATACAAATTAGTTCATGCCTACAGTGTTCTATCAAGATTTGCGGTATAATTATACTATCTAACAAAAAAACAGAATCATTAAGTATGCCTACGTTATAGTATGTCTAAAGTGTACTAAAACCAGATTATGGCATACAGTTCTAGAGTTTTTCAAATTACAATAATCACCAAAGATACTACACTTATACTGTCAATTTAGAAATACTGCAATGTTTTTATTATTGCAACAATTACGATTGGTGCGATTAGGTTAAGAAAAACATCGCATTTTAATTTGATGGCTTTATTTTTTGTCTAGCCTTGACGGAGTCAAAAAGCGAGTCATAGGTATGCTGTTTCCGCGGCGGCGGCGGCGGCGGCGTCAACATTGTATTAATTTGTGATTAGGTCAATGATATTTGATATGGAGTTGTATAAGCATTGGCATATTTCATTTTCATTTTTATTTTCATGGAGATAAGTTGGCCCTGTCCCTCTATCATGGTCTATTGACTGAAACTTCTGCTTAGTTTACAGGTTTAGTGGAAGGTCAACGATATTTGGTGTGCAGTTGTATTAACATTGGCACATCTCATTTTCCTGGAGATTGTTTAGACCTGTTCCTTCAGTCATGATTCATTGACTTTGAATATTTTGCATAACTTACATAGTGAAGTATAGCTATATCAATTACAATATTTGCATTTAGTATCGAAATAAAGAAAAAGGCGAGGCATATCTCTATATGGTAACGGTATATTTGAAATCGTAAAAATAAACTGGCATTTTTTTCAATTGTGCAACAATTGCAATAATGTGACGTCAGACGCACTTTTCGTCCACACAAGACTCCTTACTGCCCCTTAAAGTAAGAAGACCAAAAAATAGATACGAAGTGTAAGTTAATCAAAAACCAAAAAAGTTGTGCCAAGTACAACTTAAGTCAGCTATGCCTGGGGGTAGAACAACCTTAGCGTTTTAAAGTTTGCTCATTGTAAAAGTGTAGTAACTGTTATGAATGGAGGAAAAATAGCTTTTCACTATACCCTTTTCAAACACAATCAGGACGAAATTGTATCCAAGCGTACTCTTATAAAATATAGGCAATTAAAATATAGCGAATATGACATGAATATTCAATGTGCTTACTTCGTTCCGATTGTATTGATATAGATATAAGAAGATGTGGTATGACAACTCTCCATCCAAGTTACAATTTATAAAAGTAAACCATTATAGGTCAAAGTACGGTCTTCAACACGGAGCCTTGGCTCACACCGAACAACAAGCTATAAAGGGCGCCAAAAATGACTAGTGTAAAACCATACAAACAAGAAAACCAACGGTTTAATCTATATAAAAAACGAGAAACGAGAAACACTTATGAACCACATCAACAAACGACAACTACTGAACACCAGATTCCTGACATAAGACAGGTGCAAATAATTGCAACGGGTTTAAACGTTTTAATATGTACCAATCTTCTCCCTTATCTGAAACAATAGTGTAACATCACAACATAGAAAGACACACTATAAAATATCAATTGAAATGGCTTTACTCAATCAAAAGACATATTAACTCAAGGGAACATACACTGAACGAATAAATTTGATCTATGATACAATGTAAATACAAAATCAAAAAAATAAGGGGTGAATAAATAAAGACAACAGTAGTATACCGCTGTGAGATGTTAAATAATTTCATCAAAACAACATTAACCTTGAACAAAAACCCGCCATTTACAATAATATATTGCGTTGCTTGGCATATCCTTTACCCTGCATAGCAGTAAAACGGTGCTATAGTTCTGGTTTTTTTGTTGTTTATCATTGGAACATGTCTGCTCCGTTTAGAGTTTAAAAAGTTCACATATTTTTTTTTCTTGATTCAGTTGGAGTTTACTTGTATAGCCCCTTATTTCTAAACAAAACTCTATGTAAACGTAACACTTAGGTAAACTGAATTCTTTTTACTGTGAATAATTTTATCCTTCATGTGTTGAACAGTTCTATATTCAAAACAACATGTTTAAACCATATGAACTTTGGTTAGACAGGTTTCACTGACTGAAAATACCAATGCAATTAGTCTTTGTAAGTGTTACAGGACATCGGTAGATATGTGTTTAAAGCTTGTGATAATGTAATCTGGCATTGTTTCTGTTGATCTAAATAAGTTATTTCATTTTCATGTTTTGTAGCGAGGATTTTAACTCATGCTTTGATATTTTTTCAAGTTTGCTGTGTCATTAATCGTAGATATAATAAACCTGAATTTTATAATTGTTCGATTGAAACTTTGAATCGGGATGTCTAAAAGCAATTTAAGAGAGACAAGCTTGTAAGGTAACACAATTTTTATTTGTTTATAAGTCAATGTTAACTTTTGATGAGACGTACTAATATCATATTTTCTCAGTTCTTCGCAACTGGCTTCTGTAAAAAACAATACAATATATTCATTTGTTCAGTGCTGAATCAATATATTTCCAACCAGTAGGTAGAAGGCATATTTGATTGAACATTTTATACACGAAAGTAATAAATGTTTGAATCGTTGCGATAGAAAATAAATATAATTACTTTTTCTTTTAATATTACCTCCAGATCTAAGAGTTTTTCGCCATATTTTTTAAAATATTGTTATTTCTTATCTTCAATCCGAAGAATTGTTTATCTAAAGCCTACGCTCCTTGTTGTGGTGTTTTTTTTTTATTGGACCAGTGAAAAAGATGAAAATTAATGTGAATTCTCATAAATGTAACTTACGATAGTATCACGCATGCCTTAAGTATTGTTTTTAAAATTCATATTTTAGCTTAAATGTGTTGTCGTTTTTTTAGAGATGAATCGACAGCGCGTCTTCCCTACAATGTCTTCTATTTTTCGAATTGAAAAAAAATGGAAGTTTAAAGGGGACATAATTTTGATGAAGAAGAATCCTGACTGTTTAGAACTGTCTCAGATATAACTCCTACAATGATATTTATCAAAAGAAAAAAAGGTTTTCGCAGTTGTTTTATTTGGTATATGATAATGCATGGTAACAATAAGAACATAATTTCTTATTTACTGTTGATATTTATGGCACAAATTATACTTACAACATCTGTATCTTCTGCCACTGAAAGTTAAGTTAAATCAATTTTCAATTGTACAAGATGTACAATGTAATTTCATTTCATACGATTTTCTGTTTTTTTTTTATATAAACAATATGTGTATTGTCATAATATTATAGATCATATTATATTAACAGTGTTTAGCGCAATGAATCTTCCTTGATTATGATTTAGGTTTCATCGATAGTTTGATTACATTGAACATATCGTACAATGAGCCACAGCGCCGAATGAGGTTTTACCTTAGTGAAAGGTCCATTCCTTATAATACGGATACATTGTTGTAAAGTGAACCTTCTTTTATTGTTGATATTCGACAGGAAAATTTGAAATAACGTTCTCTTTTAGTATGTTTGTATATCCATGGTATATCCTAGCATAATGAAATGTTACGTCAGTTTTTATTAATTTTCGAAAAGTTCGTGCATAATTAAAATATGTTGTTTCTGAACATTTAAAATTCATGCTGTACTCTTATTGATTTCGGTGGTTTTAATATGTCCTGGAATGTTGTAACGTTGTTTTCCGAAATTGTCTTTTGTTATTAACAAAATTCTCAAATTGAGATTCATCCCGGTTTGTTTGAATCGTTACAAAGATCACAAATTATGTCGCTTAAATCAGTAAACAAAAGATGAATTTGAACGAGACATTGGAATGTTGCGAGTAAGAATGTATGGCACATACTGCAATCTAACTCATTTCTTCTATATGACAATTGAGGGACACAGACACGCCATCTAATTGCATGCGTCCTGTAAAACATCTAGGGACTAAGTTACGTCAAAACAGGCAAATTCGGCTGATGCAACTGCTCAATCGCTTTTTTTAGGGACTTTCCGTTTTGAATTTTTCTCGGAGTTCAGTATTTTTGTGATTTTACTTTTTTTCATGACGCCTACAGTCAAACATATACCCGGTTTAGCCCACAACAGAATTTCAAACCAAACTGTCCGAAATCTGTCAAATATATTTTGTATTGCTGTTATTTAAAATTCAATTGCGACTTATCTTTTTCACACATACCCTTGCCTTTACGGTATTGGACATTTATGATATCTTATACTGAATGACTATAAACAAAACATAGTATCGTTAAAATATTGTTTTACAACCTTGCTCATCATATCATGTAATCTCAGTTAATCTCAACTCTCCAAACTAAAATCACGTAATGGTGTTGGAAACCCAGACACTTTATCGAACTCAATTGGGGTTTTTAACCATGCAGAGTACAACATACGACCAAAATATCCGAAACAATATTTGGGCATTTCTAAAGGAACTTTATTTTCTTTTTAACAGGACATATTTCGAGCTAATTATATCTTACTTGCAGTTCAATGTGTTTAAAAACCGTTAATTTTGTAAACTCGTTGTATTTAGCAATTTTTGTGGTATCAAGCAGCTGCCTCATTGACATATATCCAACATTTTTTTTCAATGCGATAATCTCTACATTCTATAAGTAGTCAATTGGCTATTTCTATTGATCAACTGATTTGTAGATCTCGGTTTTCTTAATTATGTTTGATGTTTACATTTTTTGTTTTATAGTGTTATAGGCCTATACATACTAATATTTTCATGGACATTGTCAAAAGTAAAAAGTGGATATAAATGGTCATTTAAGAGCTAAATCTTCATTGGAGGGGATTGATGCGATAAGATCATTAACAAACTCTCTTTGTTCTTTTTTTTTTTGAACAGCAACCATATGTCCTATTCACTTTTTTGAAATTAATACACTACGGAATGAAGTATTGTCCATATTTAGAAGAAGACTGCAGAAAGATTCCGAAGACGGGCAAAGATTACGAATTATGATGGACGTCAGGCGTCAGAGCAGTTGTTTACATGTACCTTTGATTTATACCGTTCACTACCTATTTCAGTGAGTACAACATCTCTTTTTATGATAACATTCACCAGATACGTTCAAATGAAAGTAATATCTAAAAGACTTTAGAAAGAATATACATTATTTCCGTAAAGATATATCTAAAAATACCAAATTGCAAAATTCAATAATACAATGCATATCAAATTTGGTTTTGATTTGTTGTTTTATAAATAAAACTAATTTTATTTTTTCTACATTTTGTCTTGTACATGTTGTAGAGACTTTTTATTACTTACTATGCAGCTTGAATTTTGCATATTCCAAAAATGCATTAAAACAATCTAGCGATGAATAATGTATCTGTTTTATCTATATTATTGCTACAGATAATTTACTTACGATTTGATGCTAGATGGTCATTAAAGTTTTCCATTGATCCGACATTGGTTGGTCCTTTACCTACAAAAAATACATATGAGTTCTTTTTAACAATTCAAATTTGCAAGCAAACGGAAAAAGAACTCCTGGCAACTTTAGAAAAGTATCTGACAGAAACAACAGTTTCAACAGTTTTGAACAGTCCCAGCTTAAAATAGATCTTAGCCGTTTTACCCGACAGCAGTTCTATATAGAACATATTCTGAAGTTCTTTCCTAGGAACGTTTTGGGCAGCTTTTTTGATTGTTTAATAATTTATTTATTTATTTATTCATTTATTTATTTATTTATTTATTTATTATTTATTTATAGATTTATTGAGATGTTGATATTTTTTCTTAACGTAGTTAAACATGTTAAAATAAAATGCAGCTGTTCCTTTTCCTGAATGTCGAAAGGATGATGAATGGATATACAATCTTATAAATGTAAAACACCATTAAAAATTATTAACATTGACATATGTTGTACATCGTATGAATATGGAATATGTTGTGACGACTACCAAAGTGATAGAAGAAGGTGATTTCGAGAACGTTTTAATGGAGTATCAGGTAAAATCTGTAGAAAGCTGCAAAAATTTAAATGTTAAATATGAGAGTTTTGAAATGGAGTATAAACCTTTTCTCACCTGTCTTCTTTTATTTCTTAACTGGGAAAAACAACACATGTGCTAGAGAAAAATAGCCATCGATTTATAAAAAGTTGTGTGTTAAAACATTAGGTTATATTAGATGCAAGCCAAACGTTGGACTGACAACGGTTGTTAAAACCTTTGGATTTTTTTTATCATAGTTAGGTCGTTTAATTCATCTCGGATATTTTATACTTATTTCAAACTCAAATATCATTGAAAAAATGATTAACCTTAAGTACTTCAATGTGCACGGACGTTATAATTTTACAAACTCGAAACAATTTCTGTGGATATGGCCATTTTGGGAGTATATAATAATGATCTTTCACTATTTGCAGTATTGTCAAACATTTATAGGTTATCAGAATCTTTTAATTTTTGCATATTCATTTATGATTATACACAGCAACACAATACATAATTGTTTTTATATATTATGGGGCCGCCAAGTTCATCTAGAATATTTGATCATGATTGCCAAGTAAAGATCATAAAAATAATTTTCTTAAGGACTACATTCTGCAGAGATAACGCACGATATCTAAGACAGATACATAGAAATTGCATACTTAGTCCAGAAATGATTATCCGGTTGATACGAGTCTTTTCAAAATCATTATGAGCTCGTACTAAAGTTGCATTATATGTTAGGATAATTTTGTAGTTTAAAACAAAATACTGATAAAAAACTCAGATTATGAAATTTAAAAATCGAGGCAATTGACCTAATATTTTTCTTTCTGACATTTTGAGATGTTAACGATCTTTCACTCTTGACTGATACAAATAATTTAATAAATGTTTGTATTTAACATGTTAAACATACTAATCAATTATCTAACTAACAGAATGTATAGGATATTGTTTATATTTTCCTGATTGTTTGGTAATGCTTATTTTTTAAACCAATAATTTTTCATCAAAATTACTTTTATGAACTTTAGTTGTCAGCGTAAACGAAATTTTTTATGATATAAATACACTAAATGTGTATTATTGAAATGTAAATGGAACTATTTCATATCGGTTAAGAGTTAGCTTCTCTTATTAAACCGACCAGAAAACCGGTCATTAACGAACTTTTACATGTTAATGACCGGTGGGGCGTGGTTTCTCTGTTTAGAGTGATGTCAATTTTATATTGAAGTTACCGAATAGTTTACCATATGGTTTCGTTAATTATAAAATTATTGAAAGCTTTATTATGTATTCATATACTAAAATTTTCATTTAAATGAATGCTCCTCACTCTTTCCTATAAAAATCGTACAATAAGTCGAGTTTGCTTTGAACAATTTGAATTTATGAGATTAAAAAAAAACATAGTTCCTCAATGAAATAAACATAATAGTTTTTGAAGAACTGGTCATTATCGTGATACATTGACTGCCCGTAGAACAGTGGTATTGACTGCGACAGCGATAAAGACCTCGCCTTCGGCTCAGTCATTATCGCTGTCTTAGTCAATACCACTATCCTGTGGGCAGCCAATATATCACGATAATGACCAGTTTTTTCAATAACTATTATATAACTAAGTTCGTTAAGATCAATATATATATATATATATATATATATATATATATATATATATATAACTTACCTGTACCTTCGTCTAAATCTGGATAAAATGTGTCAGGAAACAACTTTCCAGTGTCAGTAAGAACATGCGCAAGCCAACTTTCTGGTGCTATAATTTTATGAAATAGAGATTTTGAAACAAAGCTTTTATTTCGTGTTATTAAAATCGGCGAATAAGAAAGTATTTTTAATATCCGGATAAATCCCAGTACAGAATTTCAGGTCGATTTTTAGAATGTCATGCTTTAACAAATTATTTTAATTTTAGTAGTTGTTAAATTAAGGATTAATTTGTTAGGGTGAGCTTTGAAAATTGATGTGAAAGGAGCCTGCACTGCTTATCTAATGAAAAATTTCAGAAATATTGGAAAATTAACCCTCTCCAACTTTGAACATCATAGTCTGTTTTCTACATTCAATCGCACGTGTCCATTACTTGACATTTTAACGAAGTTGCTAACTTTTATCAAACTTGCTTGTGTCCCCATGTTTTCACAACAGATGAATACGACCAAGACATTTTGACCAAGAACATAAAAAAAACCCATTAAGTTTAAGAACCTGACATGAAGGAAAACCTAATTTGCATTATTGACGCATCGAGTTAGAAATTTGACTCTTAAAAATCTTCAAATTTCCTGTCTCCGCGATGTTTTTTCTATGACCAGGTGCAACTGAAAATTCTTTTCATGCTTCGTTCTTTTTGTTCACTTTCATAGAAAACAAACATGAAATCCGAAAATATGTGATCTTTTTTATAAGGTTTTTTCATGCAGTTCATGATGACATGCAACTGTGTTATTTGGATAAAATATCGATTATCGGTCATCAATCAATAAGGACGAAATAACAAATTTGATAAACGAGTAGAGTTTTGCATCCTGATGTGGTAAGTAATTGCATAGTAATTGTAAAAGTGATACACATTAAAAAAAAATATACAACATTGATTCTACATCGAGAACTAGTGCCAAGCTACGGCTGTTTATTTCAACAATAAGTATTAACTTAATAGAAGTCAGGAGCCTGTAATTCAGTGTGTTGTTTGTTGTTGTATATCATATCTGTTTTCGTTCATTATTTTGTATAAAATCAGGCCGTTATTTTTCTCGTTTGAATTGTTTAACATTTGTCATTTCAAGGCCTTTATAGCTGACAATGCGGTATGGGTTTTACTCATTGTTAAAAGACGTATGGTGACGTTAAGTTGTTAATTTCTTCGTTATTTGGTTTCTTGTGAAGAGTTGTCTCATTGGCAATCATACCACAACTTGGTTGTTTTACATTAATCATTTTAATAGTGAAAGAAAGTATATATAGTAATTATTTCTTCTCAAATTGTAAAGTAAACTCCGATTAAGATACTCGAAGAAGTCCTAGTAGACACCTTGGGGTGAAATTCGGTTTGATTCGTAAGTGAGTATCCGATGTGTAGGTATTCTTAACAAGTACTTGCGTCATTTTATTCATCATGTTCATTGTTGATTTATATTTCCAAAATAGATTCACAATATTTGATTTTTAGCACAACTGACGACATGATCATATGCTGCATAATTGTCATTAAATTGCTTCATCGGTATCATGTAATTTTGTATTTAATGACTTTGATACAAGTCTTGGATTATCTTTATTTATTGACATACTTACACGCTCCAATAAGCTTTAAAATAGGAGAATATCATTTTTATTATCTAACGTAAGGGGGAGTATGATGTCTACTATAACATTTCTGAAGCGTCATTTGTAACTTTTCATGATGAAAAACCATAATATACTTGGCAAATCGGAGAAACGACAACAGTATAGTAAACACACATTTGCGTTCAGGAAACTTAAACCATAGGAATAAATTTCAGCTATTAAGGTAGATAGGGTGTCTTCCTCCATCTTGGATTTTGAAATACCTGAAAACAATCGGTCTAGATCTTTAAAAAAATGTGCAAATTTTGAGAGTAGTAGGTAATTCATGTGTAAGAATTTTCATTTCAATATAGAAAATGACATGTTTTATCATATTTATGGTTGTATTTTACAAAAAAAACAGAATACTTTTGTTTGATTCAATTTTTTCCAACTTTGCCACATAAGGGGAGGCAACTCAATTGTAAGGGCAAATAATTCAGATAAAGTTACTTTTACATAGAATGTGTTAGGAATTTACCTATTTTATTATGTAGCAAGAAAACGGGTCCCGTTTTTCTTATCTGAAAGCATAATATTAGAGCTATCTTCTCATATTTTATCTCAAAGTTCTAAAGTGTAGTTTTCTTTTTATGGCAGAACATTGGGTTTTCCATGCATAATCTATACACAATCTGTCAATTTTGCACAACCTGTAGCGTGAAAATAAGCCCCGTGACCCATTCTTTTTATTATTTTGTTTAAAAACCATGATATAAACTACATTCTGGCAAATTATTAAAAAATTCTATGGATTATAATTTAGACACCCCATCTACCTTAAGTTGTAGAATTAAAAGAACGGTCAATATTATATATATTAGTTCCTAAATTAGTAACGTCATACCAGTTGGGTGTTTTTTTCATAATAATTAAATCTGAAAGTGATATTTTCGAAAGTGCGGGGGAGATGAACGCATTAAGAAAAACAATTGCTTACGTAAATTGTAGAATTATTATTGCATGTAAATACATTGCGTATTATGACAAAAAAAATAAACAACACGTTATGAATTTCATGCGTTCTATGCGCTTTTCTGGATTAACTTTCATCAGGAACGCTCAATGCCAAATAGTTGAAAGCCACGGATGTATAAGAACCGAAACAGTTAAA